AGATATATATATATATATATTTATATATATATATATATATATATATATATTTATATATGTATTTGTATATGTATATTTGCATAGACAACATATAGATTATGTATATGTGTATCTGTATATCTGTATATAGATATATAGATAAATATAGATAGGTATATGTTTTAAGACAGATAGAAGGAGACAGATAGAAAAGAGACAGAGAGACAGAAAGAAGGAGACAGATTAAAGAGAGACGATGTTAGAGATAGCAAAGGAGAGAGAGGGGGCTTGCAGCAAAGCAGAGACAGAGACAAAGAGAGACAGACAAAGAGAGACAGATAGAGAGAGACAGACAAAGAGAGAGAGAGCAAGAGACGCCTGAAGCAAACAACAAGACAGGCGAGACAACGCCAGCAGCAAACCCTCAACATCCTTCGTTTTGTTTGCTGCTTCTTGCTGCATACTCCTTGTCTCCTCCCCCTTGTACTACTATATCTACTGCTGTTGTTGCTGCTGCTGCTGGTGTTGCTGCTGCTGCTGCTGCTGCTCTTGTCTCACTGCTACTGCTGCCCCTTCTGTTGCTGCTACTCCTACTGCTACTGTGGTGCTGCTCCTCCTGCTGCTAATGCTGCTGCTGCTGCTGCTGCTGCTGCTGCTGCTGCTGTGGTGTCTGTACACCTCAGGTTTTGAGGGGGGGCAGATGCCTTTGTTTCGGCGGCTTCCAAAGTTTGTGGGGAGACAGCTGGGCCCGGGACATCAAAAGAAGTACAGACTGTCTCCTTTTCAGCTGCTTCCGCTGCATAAGCTCAATGCATGCAAAGAAGGAGACACTGTTTGCTGGGAGACGCTGCAGCAGAAAGGAGTCTTCTTAGGAAAATATAAAAGAGATTGCCCCGTCAAGGCAAGCAATGATGCTCGTGCTGCTGCTGCTGCTGCTGCTGCTGCTGCTGTTGCTGCTGTTGTGGTGGTGGTGCTGCTGGTGGTGTTGGTTCTGCTGCTACTGTTGCTGCTGTGGTGGTCTTGCTGCTGCTGCTGCTGCTGGTCGTCTTGTGCTGCCTGATAGTGCTGCTGCTGCTGCTGCTACTTTTGGCGGTGGTCCTGCTAGTTGTGGTCTTGCTGCTGCTGACACTACCGTTGCTGTTGCTGCTGCTGCTGCTGCTGCTGGGGCTGACCGCATGCTGCTCGCGATGATGTAGGAGGCAGTCTTGCTGCTGCTACAGGTGGAGTTGTTGTTTCTTCTGCTGCTGCTGCTGCATGCTGGAGGCTGCTGCTGTGCTCCGTCTTTGTACCGAATGCCTCCCTCTGTCTCCTTTTGCTGCTGCTGCTGCTGCTGCTGCTGCTGCTGCTGCTGCTGCTGCTCATCTCAGGTTGTGGGGCCGCCGCTGAGCCGCAAGCGACTGGCGCCCTATGGAGACGGAGAGTTAAGAGTAAGGGGGCTTCAAGTCAAGGTAAGACACCCTCTATGCTGCTGCTGCTGCTACTGCTGCTGCTACTGCTGCTGCTGCTATTCTGGGTGCTGCTGCTGTCATTGCTGCTGCTGCTGCATCTGCTGCTGCTGTTGGTTCTGCTGCTGCTGCTGTCTCCTTCCTAGGTTCCCTGTGCATTGTAGCTGCTGTTGCTGCTGCTGCTGCTGCTGCTGCTGCTCAGGCGCATGCGTTTACTCGTGCAGCAGCTCGCGCTATTATTCGTTTGGGGGGTCGCTGCCTCGTGCTGCAGCCGAAGACACACGACAGAGTTGTAGCAGAGTTTAATCCAGATTACCCCACAACAAACAATCTTGCTGCTGCTGCTGCTGCTGGTGATCTTCCTGCTGCTGCTGATCCTGCTGCTACTGCTGGGGTTCCTGCTGCTGCAGCGGGTACAGCAGCAGCAGAGACAGCAGCAGAAGCGGGAGAAGGAGCAGTGCCTGCGGATGCCGCTGCGTCTACTGCTGCTGTTGTTGCTGCTACGACTGCTGCTGATACAGCAGCAGCAGCAGCAGCAACAGCAGCAGCAGGAGTAGGGAATGAAGAGAAAGGAGACAATGAAGCTCAGGTGTATAGACTGCAACGTGCTGCAGGTCTGTCTCTCACTCAGATCCTTTGGCTTCAAAGGCGCGCGGTGTATCTGCAGCTGCAGCGGATGCAGCAGCGGCTGGCTGAGTGCAGCAGCAAATTGCTGCGTAGCCCCCACAAGAAGAAGTACGAAAGGAGACAGCAGAATCTGGAAGCAAGAGTCTCTAAACTGCAGCAGACTCTCGCTCAAGTTAAAGAAGACATTCAGAAAGCCACAGCAACCAAACTCATACCCTCAGACCCACCGCAGCAGCAGCAGCAGCAGCAGCAGCAGGAGCAGCAGGAGTGGGATCCCCCTTTGCCTGTTTTAAGTCGGATCCCACGCCGCATTGTGCATGCAGGGAGACTGCCTAAGAAGCAGCAAAACTTTCTACGGTGAGTTTAACTCTGCTGCAGTTGAGGTGTACAGACAGCTGAGCGAAGGGCAAGGGGATAGAAGGAAAGAGAGACAGGAGATGCTACTGCTGCTGCTGCTACTGCTGCTGCGCCACTGCTGCTGCTGTCTCTTTTCTGCTGCAGGTGGTCGCGGTATATCGCAAGGCAGTCAGAAGAGACAGCCACAGACAAACCAGAGAGCTGAGCTCGTCTTGCTGCTGCAGCTGCTGCTTCTTAGGTGCAGCTGCAGCAGCAGCTGCAGCAGCAGCAGCACAGGCACTGCTGCAGAGGCTTCTGGCGATGAAGTTCATCGCAGTCTTCTGCCAGCAGCAACAAGTTGCAGCAGAAGCGTCAGCTGCACAAGTTTAGGGTTTAGGGTTTAGGGTTTAGGGTTTAGGGTTAGGGAGACACTGTTTGTCTCTAGGAGACAGACAGACTCCTTTCGTCTATAGGAGACAGATACTGTCTGTCTCTAGGAGACAGATACTGTCTGTCTCTTTTATAAGAGAGACATTGTCTGTCTCTTTGAAGGAGACAGTATCTGTGTGTAGGAGACAGATATTTTCTGTCTCTAAGTGTAGTTGTGCGGCTGTCTCGGGTTTGTAATGAAGAAGACTATGATTAGGGTTTTAGTTGCTGCCTCCGTCTCCTCTGTACATTCACTCTAAACCCTAAACCCTAAACCCTCATTGTGCGCTTCAGCTGAAGATAAACTCGTCAGTACGCTTAGGGTTTAGGGTTTAGGGTTTGGGCAGTCCCGTCGATCTCTCTACTTCCTCTGAACCCTAATCCCTGCGGAGGCTTAAGTGCAGTTTAAGGGCTTACAATACTAGGGTTTAGGGTTTAGGGTTTAGGGAGAACAAAGAAACCCTAGACAGCAGAAAAAAGAAAAGTGTTTGCCTTCATCATTATACACCGCAACAAACAAAATGTTGTCTGCGTCTTTTGCGAAGGTACACTTAACACACACAGATAGATACACGCTTATTATATATATATATATACATATATATATATATACATATATATATATATATATATATAGATATATATAATATATAATACATATATACAGGAGTATGCAACATATGCACGCAATAAATTCACGTTAAACACAAAATTTATAATATATATATTATATATTATATATTATATATATTATATAATATATATATATATATATAAACGCAATAGATAGATGTACTTAACATATATATGCAGATATTTACACATACTGAAGTCAAAAGTAAAAGGGATATACATCAATACTTATCATAAACTCACATATATATTTATATATTTATATATTTATATATTTATATATTTATATATATATATATATATATATAAACATATACACACGCATATACATAATACGCATATATAGATATATGTTTGTATACGCAAAAACACAGAACATATATACATATATATATATATATATTATCAACTCTAGTGCATGCATATATATATATATATATATATTAACTCTAGTGCATGCATATATATATATATATTAATAAGCTCTCTCTTTCTCTGTCTCTCTAGATGTATGCATATATAGAAGAAGACTAAACCTTATACACGTACATACACATACACACACGCACACACACATTTATGAATATATATATATATTATATATATATATATATACATGCATATATATTATATATATTATATTATATATGTATATATATATATATATATATATACATCTGTACACAGATATATAAACATCAATGGGTACACCCATACAGACACATCCAAACATATATATATATATATATATACATATATATATACATATATATATATATATATATA